CTGGCACCATTTCCACAACTGAGTGTGGTTAATACTACCTTACAGGAATATCTGAGTCAACGCCACACTACTTGGCGTGATTTGAAAGGTCACCGTTTACGCATCTCTTACGCGCACGATCCACCACGTACGCTCATCCATCGACAGTCGGAAACAGAAGCGTGGCAGTTCGATGGCGCTGCGCCACAGATATTTGCGGCGTTCGCGCAACGTCACAATGCTACCATCGAATCCTGGATCGCAAGACCTGGTAATTTTAATATAGCTCGTGTTTGCAAGCATCGGCTACAGGAAGGATCGGTGGACTTATGCACCGATTGGACAATTCAGAGCAGAGAAAACATTTCGAGTACGCCACTACAATTATACACGTACGATTTGGCAGTACGCTATGCGCGACCACTTTCCAAGCTCTACTACTTTCAAGTGCCCTTTCAAGCGGCTGCCTGGCAGGCTATCGGTGTCAGCATTTGTTTGGTAACGTTTGCGACAGCGCTCTTGACGCGACTGCAGCGCGGTGAGTGGCAAATCGGTCGGTTGGGTTTGGATGTGTGGGCTAGCTTTCTATATTTAGCGTTTGATCTGCGGCCAATGCATACGCACCTGCGATCGCTTATGTTGCTAACGCTCGTTATTAGCGGTTTTATGCTCAGCAACTTGTATCTTGCCTATCTGGCGAGCATACTCGGCAATGGTGTATATGAGCCAGAAATAAAGACGCTGCAAGACGTTCGGCGCAACAACATAATCGTTATGACATATGAGTACCAATATGCTAGTTTAAAAAACTTTGGCTTGCCAGCGATTTTGGAGGAACACATGGATATTGTCAGCCAAGAGCAAGTTTTAATGCATCGCAATAATTTCGACACACGCTACGCTTATATGAATCCAGAGATAACGCAGCTACTATATGACTACCAGCAAAAATATTTGCGACGCCCAATCATGCGAAAATTAGACAAACCGATACTTCGCGCACTCGCTGGACATTCGATCAAAGAGGGTTGGCCACTAGAGGAGCTTTTCAACAAACATTCTTTGGAATTGTTCGCCGTTGGCTTGTACAAGCGACTTAATGAAGATCAGAATTTGAAAACTATCCAATTAGGTTATTTTAGTTATGCAAAAGAAGAGCACTCAAGTGTCAAACCTTTGGGTCTAGAATACTTTTCAATGCCGGCGTTACTTTTAAGTTGCGGATACAGTTTGGGCTTTATAGCGCTAATGCTGGAGTTAATGTGTTACAAAATAAAAAAGTTTCGGGAATAAGTAACACAAAAACAGAAGAACATATCTCAATATGTATACAATAACAGTTATATTGTCGAAATAGAAAATATTTCATGTAAAAAAAGACTACCAAAGCAAATCATATATGTATACCATAGGTTGGGATTCTGTTTTTCGTTTGCTTGTTCCAAGAATCACTTCCGCCCGTCAAGCGTTTTTTGAAAAACGTAAACCTGAGGAAGACGACGATGTGGGTTTCTGCCTCTTCGACTAAACAGCTCAACTCTTCATTGGCTGGAATCAGAGACTAGTGAATGGTGGCCAAACCAACCTTCTGCTGAAATTTTCTTTTTATCTTGAAACAAACACTCGTTAAGTGTTTAGTGGGATTGGAAAGAAATCATCCACCAAGAGCTGCTCCAGCTTGGTTGAACGATTGATTTTACATTTTGCTGTTAACAACTGATGAGATTGTAGTAACAGAAAGGGCTTCGTCTTCCATCAGGACAACGCTAAACCACACACATCTTTTATGACTCGGCAAAAACTGGGAGAGCTTGGCTGGGAAGTTTTGATGCATTCACCATATAGGACTGATCTTGCAACCATTTGTTCCGGTCAATGCTGAACTCCCTCAATGGAGTAAAGTTGGCTTCAAGATAAGCTTGTGAAAATTACTTGTCGCAGGTTTTCGTCGAGAAACCAGAAAAGTTTTACACTGACCGAATAATGTCTCTAGCGGAAAGATGGCAAAAGGTGGTCGATCAAAATGATACTTATTTGTTTCATTAAAGTTCACTATAAATATAAAAAAATTAAATTGAAATTAGAAATACGAAAAGACTTTTTGTACTACCAAATATATCAACGTGAGAATAGTGTGAGAGAGTAAAAGAGAGAGTAAGTGAGAAAAAATTAAGGTCTTTTATTATTTTTATTTATAAATACCTTATCTATTACTAATCTAATACAGAAAGCTTTCATTAATTTCTAAATATAAATTCTAAAGCGATTATTTTTTAATTACCAATGAGTTTAGTGTAGGCTCATGTAAGTCACATTTAATACACCATAGACGACTCCTTTGGGTCCAGCAGACCTATTATTAATGGCAAGCAAGTACTAATTAGACAGGTTGCTCAATATTAGTTTCGAGTATTGCATTACAATAAAGTTAGTTTGCAAATAAAAACCCTTAAGCGCAAAATATAAAAGCAAACGTTGCGCCTTCAAACTTTTAGTGCAGATTCCGTGCTCTTCGGACAACGTTAAATACATTTTCGTGAAATAAGAATGTTTCGGTTGATACTCTTCAACGCCTTGCTAACTCTGCACTGTCATTGTGAACACAGCAGCGTTGTAAATTTAGTGAATGGTCTGAGTCATGGCGTGGCTGCCACAACCAACGTTATCTACGCCTTCAATGAAGCACCGCATTTTGCTGCGATTATGAAGAATTTGACTTCTCCGAAGCTCATCATTACCAGAAATATAACTTACGAAATAAGGCACACATTCGATACGAAAATATTGAGTGTGATTTTCTTGGCGAACACCCCCACGTTGGATCAAAGCTGGCACATTGTAGTCTTCAGCACACTTAAGCGTTTGCACCACACCGATGTGCTTTTCCACTGGCCGCGGGAATTCACTTCTGCGACAGATATTTGGTTGACGCTCTTCACACTTTATTGGCAGCATGGCTTGCACATTTTACTGGTGGTAGATGTGCGTGCTCAACTACTAACGCTGGCACCATTTCCACAACTGAGTGTGGTTAATACTACCTTACAGGAATATCTGAGTCAACGCCACACTACTTGGCGTGATTTGAAAGGTCACCG